GAAATCTGGAGAACAACCACTTGGCCACCTGACTGGAAGAGATCTATATTTGTTCCCATTCCAAAGAAGGGTGACCCAGCAGAGTGGGGAATCTACAGAACAGTATCATTGATTTCACATGCAAGCAAGATTCTACTGAAGATTATCCAAAAACAACTGGAACAGCACATCAGCAGAGAACTGCCAGAAGTCCAGGCTGGGTTTAGAAGGGGTCGTGGTATTAGGGATATTGTAGCTGATGTTAGATGGATCTTAGCTGAAAGCAGGGAATACCAGAAGAATGTCTATCTGTGTTTCATTGATTATGCAAAGGCGTTTGACTGTGTGGATCATAACAAACTGTGGCTGACTCTGAGGAGAATGGGAATCCCAGAACATTTAATTGTGCTAATGCGAAACCTATACTTGGACCAAGAGGCAGCTGTCAGAACAGAGCAGGGTAACACCACAAGGTTCAAAATTGGGAAGGGTGTATGCCACGGATGTGTCCTATCTCCATACCTTTTCAACCTGTATGCAGAGCAGATTATCCAAGAGGCTGGGCTCTATGAGGAGAAGTGTGGCATCAGGATTGGCGGAAGATCTATTAACAATCTGCGTTATGCAGATGATACAATCCTGCTTGCTGAAACTGAGGAGGACCTCATGCACTTGCTGCAGAGGGTCAAGGACTATAGCCTTCAGTATGGACTGAGGCTCCATGTCAAGAAGACAAAGATTCTCACCACTGGACCAATTGGCAGCATCAGGATGGATGGCGAAGAGATTGAGATTATTCACAGCTTTAGTTTGCTTGGCTCCACGGTCAACACTCTTGGCACCAGTAGCCAGGAAATAAAAAAAATATCGCGATGGGAAAGTCTGCTGTTAGGGACCTCTGTAAAGTACTCAAGAGCAACGGTGTCTCTCTGGAGACTAAGGTGTGTCTGATACAGGCTATGGTCTTTGCAATCACTTGTTATGCATCAGAGAGTCGGACAATGACTAGGGAGGACAGAAGGAGAACTGATGCCTTTGAGCTGTGGTGCTGGAGAAGACTATTGAATGTACTATGGACTGCCAAACAAAGAGATTCATCCTGGAGAGGGTTAAACCAGGCTACTCCTTGGAGGCAAGGATTCTGGGGCTTCGTCTGACATACTTTGGACATGTTGTAAGGAGGGACAGGTCCTTGGAGAGGGACATCATGCTTGTGAGGGTGGAAGGACAGCGCAGGAGGGGAAGGCCCTCTATGAGGTGGATTGATTCAGTGACTGGGGTAATCGGGATGGGTATGTCAGGGGCAGTGCGATTGGCACAAGAAAGAGCAAGGTTTAGGGCTGTTGTACATAGGGTCGCTATGAGTCACAAGGGACTCACAGCACATAACAACAACAAACAACACTCACAACAGATAAAAGGTGGAAACAACATGTGACCATCAATAGGTGAATGGATAAATAAAATATGGTACATGACATAATGTAGCAGTATGAATGTAATTCAGTCATAAAGGATGATAGCTCTGGTGGTAATACAACCACGGAGCAACCTTGAAAACATGCTAAGTGAAATAAGCCAGTCACAACAGGACAGATATTTTATGATCACAGTTGTCCCTATTCCCAAAAAAGGAGATCCAACAGAATAGGAAAATTCTTAAATAATATTATTAATATCACAAGCAAGTAAAATCTTACTAAAGACTATTCAAAAACAGCTGGAACAAGTAAATGAACAAGGAACTATCAGAAATTCAAGCTAGGTTCAGAAAAGGTCATGGAATGATGGGTATAATTACTAATGTCAGACGTATCTTGGCTAAAAGCAGAAAATACCAGAAAAAAGTTTCTTTGTGCTTTATTGACTATGCAGAGGCATTTTACTGTGTGGATCATAACAAATTATGGATAACAGTTAGAAGAATGGAAATCCCAGAACACTCAACTGTGTTCATGTGAAACCTATAACTAGACCAAGAAGTAGTTGTCCAAATAGAACAAGAGAATACTATATCGTTTCAAATCAGGAAAGGTATGTGTATCCTTTCTCCATACATACTAAATCTACATGCTGAGCAAATCATTCAAGACATTGAGCTATATGAAGAAGAATGTGACATCAAGATTGGAGGAAGACTCATCTAGGAAACAAAGGAAGACCTTTGTTATGCAGATGGCACAACACTGCTTATTGCAGAAGATCAAGAAGTATAGCATTCAATATGGATTATATCTCAATACCAAGAAAACATGTCTGCACCATTAGGCCAGAAAGAAACATCATGCTAGTTGGAGAAAACACTAAAGTTGTCAACAACTTACTTTTACTTGGATCCACAATCAGCATCCATGGTAGTAGCAGTCAAGAAATCAAAAGATTTACTGCACTGAGAAAATTTACTGTCAAGGATTTCTCCAAAGTACTAAAAAGTTTAGCAGTTTAAAGGCTAAGGCATACCTAATTCAGAACATGATATTTTCACTTGCTTTGTATAGACCTGAACTTTGAACCACCGTGTTTGAGAAAAGTACTAAATATCCTATGGAGTGGCAAAAGAACAAACAAATCTGTCTCAGAGGAAGTGCAAATAGGGTGCTCTTTAGAACCAAGGATGGACTGCCGCTGCCTTTTCTCCCCCTTGTGGGCCAGGCTGAGAAGCTGAGGGTTCCCGTGGGACCTCTGGTCCCCCTGCGCCCTTGGCTGCAGCCCACCTTTTCTATTGGTGCGCCCAGCTTAGCGCCGCACCCTTACTCCTCCGCGCCCTGTGCGCGACCCATCTGGTCCTGGGTCAGTTAAGTTCTGGCTTCACTTCTGTCGTCCGGGAAGGCACTGTCACTGTGGTGGGGCCCGTCCCGGTCCGAAAAGAATGGGAGCTGCGGTGTGGGACTAGGGATGCTGTGCATCTAGGGAAAGACACACACCTGGGCTAGGGTTTAGGGGAGTCTTTGCTAGGGGGCTTTTGGAGAAGGAAAGGATTTCCCCTGGGGAGGAGTGAGGCTTTAGAAGGAGACCGGGCTGGGGTGCTTGGCGAAGCTTTTTGCTGGGAAGGCTCAGGTGTCAGTCCCTGACGTCCTTCCCACATGGGCATGGGAGACGCCATGCTCTTGTCGGCCACATGCCGACAAAGAGATGTTGCAATCCTCTTCGGGAAATTTGCGTCTTGGTCCCACGTTCTCCCCACCTGATCTGTGCACCCCTGTGTTTGAGGGCTGTGAAGTGTCCACCAGTCACTATTCGTTTTCCCCTTCCTGGACTGTGGGAATGCACGTGATGCAGCAGCTGAAAAAATTTCCTCCGAAATGTGGGCTAGACGTTGAAAATATCGTTACCGTGGCATTTGCCACCAAAGTCCTTGGCACTGTCAAATGGTTCAACATCAGAAATGGATATGATTTATAAATCGAAATGAGACCAAAGAAGATGTATTTGTGCATCAGACAGCCATCAAGAAGAACAATCCACAGAAATACCTGCGCAGTGCAGGAGATGGAGAAACTGTAGAGTTTGATGTTGTTGAAGGAGAGAAGGGTGCAGAAGCAGCCAATGTGACTGGTCCAGATGGAGTTCCTGTAGAAGGGAGCTGGTATGCTGCTGACCACAGCCGTTACAGACGGGGCTACTATGGCAGACGCCGCGGACCTCCCCGCAGTGCTGGTGAGATTGGAGAAATGAAGGATGGAGTCCCAGAGGGAGCCCAACTTCAGGGACCAGTTCACAGAAACCCAACTTACCGCCCAAGATACCGTAGGGGACCTCCTTGCCCACGACCTCCCCCAGCTGTCAGAGAGGCTGAAGATAAAGAAAATCAACAAGCAGCCAGTGGTCCAAACCAACCAGCTGCTCGCCCTGGATACAGGCGTCCATACAACTTCCGCAGCCGCCCCCGTCCTCCTAATGCTCCTGCACAAGATGGCAAAGAGACCAAGGCAGGTGAAGCACCAACTGAGAACCCTGTTCCAGCCACCGAGCAGAGCAGTGCTGAGTAACACCTGGCTCCCAGGCACCTTCACCATCTGCAGGTGACCTAAAGAAAAATGGCCATCTAAAAATACAACAAAGAAGACAGACAGTGAAAGTTTTTAAAACACCATGACCATAGCAACACCAAAGAAACAACCAAGCCATAATGTGGAAGGATAATCAAGATTTGGACGTTAGAATGTATGTTATGCTTTAAGAAAAACAAAGAACATCTGCAAAGGGAAAATGCCCAGCAAACAGACCCCAGGAATACCTGCACAGAAGGTGAGAGAGCAGCATCCTCCCCAGTTTCAGCAACCACTATATATATATATAATTTTTTTCCTGGTTTTCACTCTTTTGATAATTTGAATTGAAAAAGAAAATATCACATGGGGGAGAACCCAACCAAAGAAATCTGAAATATACAGTAAATGTTTTTTTTCCCTTATTTGTTAATTTTGGATGCTGGTGCTAAACTTCCATGTGTCGTGATTTAAAAAGAAATTTTATGCCCTTATTTATTTCTAGATGAGGGGAGGGGTAACATTTTTGCTTTCTTATGTCACTCTGTTTGAAAATGTGCAGTATGAACGATGTTCCTCAAAAATAAAAATTTTTACCTTCAAAAAAAAAAGAAGCAAGGATGGTGAGACTTCATCTCACATACTTTGGGCATGTTGTCAGAAGGGGTCAGTCCGTGGGGGGCGGGGGGAAACCCCACATCATGCTGGTCAAGGTATAGGTTCAATAAAAGAAAAGAAGGTCTTCAAAGAAGTAGACTGACACAGTGACTGTAATAGTGGGCTCACAGAATAGGACAAGGTTCAGATCTCATGTTCACATGTACACTATGAATCATAGTCAACTCAATGGTACTCTGATAACAATAACATGAAGTATCTAGAATAGGTCAGCGCCAAGAACTAAGTTTACTGGTGGTTACCAGAGGCAAGCAGGGTTAGGGATGAAGGGGGACTCATTGTTTAGAGGACTATGAATTTCTGTTAAGACTGAAGAAAAATTTTGGAAACTACTGGTAAAAATGGTGCAACAGGAGTGTGTGCGTACAGACAGGGCTTGTGGGAGACGGTTGCGATGAACACGGTGCTGTCGCGGGCGAATTTACTCTTCGCCTTCTCTCTGAGCGTGATGGCGGCGCTCACCTTCGGCTGCTTCATCACCACCGCCTTCAAAGACCGGAACGTCCCGGTGCGGCTGCACGTCTCCCGGATCATGTTAAAAAATGTAGAAGACTTCACTGGACCTAGAGAAAGAAGTGATCTGGGATTCATTACATTCGATATAACAGCTGATCTGGAAAATATATTTGATTGGAATGTTAAGCAGTTGTTTCTTTATTTATCAGAAGAATACTCAACAAAAAATAATGCTCTGAACCAAGTTGTCCTTTGGGACAAGCTTGTTCTGAGAGGTGATAATCCAAAGCTTCTATTGAAAGATATGAAAACAAAATATTTTTTCTTTGATGATGGAAATGGTCTCAAGGGAAACGGGAATGTTACTTTAACTCTACCTTGGAATGTTGTACCAAATGCTGGAATTCTACCTCTTGTGACAGGATCAGGATACGTATCTGTCCCATTTCCAGATACATATGAAATAACGAAGAGTTATTAAATTATTCTGAATTTGAAACAACATATTTTTATACTTCATAAATTGTATCTCATTTATTCAGTTGCATCTTCATTTGCTTTTGGTCGTTATTTTATCTTTTTGGTATAAGAACTAATATCAAAAGGCATATTTGAAAGGGAATGTCAATGGGCAACTTTAACCTAACAGTACCAAAAGAACAAGTAAATAAGGCCATCAGAGTGGAATGTTACAACAATAAGACAACTTCATAGTAAGAATTTGGGAGAAATATTTATCTGAAGTGCTCTCATTATTTCTGTTTTTTTTTCTGGAATATAAAGTGAGCATAATGGATAGATAAAACTTTCAGGTGCCTGTAAAAAAATGGTGCAACAGGATGAATGTAATTAAGCTTACTTGATTGTAAATGGAACAATTTTAGTTAAATATATTTACTATAATTTTTAAAAAGAGAAAGGGTCCACTTTGAAAAGGTTACTAACTTCTCTGGGTTTCACTGCTCATCTGCCTTGTGGGGACCACACTGGAGTGTGTGGATCAAGGTCAGTGTGATGGTATCTACAAAGAGTCCAGTGGAGTGCCGGTCACAGGAAGTGCTTAATAAATACTAGCTCTCTCCCCAATGCCCAGAGGTCAGAGTTTGAGCCGGGCCCTGCACCCCAACTATGGACTCCAAATGATCTACAACTTCCCTTCCTTCAGTGCAGTGGACTGAATGGGGCACTAGACAAACATTCGTCTCATGAAACAGTCACACTCCTTACGTTCCCAGAAGTTTTTGTCTTGTGAGAGAGAAGCTGCTTTGCACAAAGAAAGCTACTACTACAATCAACTGAAGGGAGGAACGTGTGGACAGTGCCTCATCCCTTCCCCGCACCACAGGCTCCTGGTACCAAATTCTCCTCTGGGCTTTGAGTAAGCCTGCTCCCTCACCTAAGATCATACTCCATTTTTGCTGTCTTGGTTCTGGGAACAAGGTGACACTCAGAATCTGGCCAACAAAGGCAACTCTAGATTTTTACTTTTCCAAAGTCCTGTGCCCAAGACATCTCTCTTTCATTCAAGATATACCCAGGCTGTGATCACATATTCATGGCTGGAGGTCGGGGCCACAGTCTCAAAAAGTGCACACTCATATCTATGCCTAACTGCCAAATGTTCTGTATACAGTATATGGAAACATGAATGTGTGCTCACAGCTTTCAATTAAAAAAAAAATCCCAAACCATAAGGTACTGCAATCCTTCACTGTGAAGGATTCAGCAGTGTGATGAACAGCTGAAAAATGGCTTGATTTTGCTTGCATGCAGCAAAAATAGTCGTGTGGAGGCAAGCGGGTGGAGGAAACAGCAAAAGTGCAGCTTCTTGGAGCTTGCCTCAAACAGATCTGAAGTTACTTACTTAACTCTGTGATGTCTCCAGTGTACCCTGCTTAGCTGCACCTACACAATGCTCTCACACATGGCACCAGCACAACACATGCATATGCTACACGCTTTCTCTCCCTGGGAATATCGACCTTTTCCCGACTCCCTGATATAAACCACATAGCACAGTGTTACTCAATATAGGAAGAAATAAGGAGCAGGATAAAGAACTGAGCAGAGCGAATGCCTAAGCTATGACTATCACAGTAAGGAGATTGGAATTTAAAAATTAGTATGTTCAAGTATGAGTGAGGGAACAGAGTGCACAGGAGAGGGGCCGAAAATTTGACACTGTAAATACTATCCGGATACAGATTCTCTCTGGACCATGACAGACAGACCACAGATTGTGGGCAGAATGGAAATGCATAGAACATGTGCAAAATACAAAGAAAGCATGCTGAGTGTTAAGCTTGTTGGAGAAAATTATTAGTGCATTTAACAGAATGTGGGTGTACTCTGCAAATAGTTACTATTTTAAGGACTTTGAAAAGTAGAGGGTAATTAAATCTCAGCTTGCATTTCATATCTGAGCACAATTAAGAGGGGGAAATCTTGCACGAGCACTAGCCCAGAGCTGTCGAGAAGGTTATACATGTCCCCATAAGAAGTACTAAATGTCCCCTGTTGAAGATTTGGAATCCTCAGCTCCAGCCTAAGTCTCTACTGAGTGGCCCTTCCTAAGTGCAAAAGGCAGTGAATGGGGACAGGCAGGCAGTCTTGTACAAAGTCATCCATTTCCAAGGGGTGCCAGGAAGAAAGTCTTCACTCAATCCCTTCCTGCTCACTGTGGCATCATTATTGCTATGTGCTGTTGAATCTGAGCCAACTCATAGCTGACCCTACAACGGGTTTTCAGAGGTTGTAAATCACATGGGAGTAGACCTCTCATCTTTCCCCCATGGAGCAACTTGTGGATTCAAATTCTTTGAGTTGGCAGTGCAACTACTTGCTCACTTAACAGCCTGTATCTCAGGTTTGTAAACAAACTTTTTGCCCTAGAACCAACTCAGAGTCAAACCCATAAATGTAGAGGCCATTTAGAAGTAGATTATTAAGTCTTTCTTTCAAAGTTTCCTTGGGTAGATTCAAACCACCAACCTTTTGGTCATTTACTAAGTGTTTAACCATTGGTGTCACCCAGCCGCCCCCCTCCCCCCATGGGCTTAAGCTCAAACGATACCTTTTCCTAACTCGCTTTCATTTATGAATGGTAACCTTTGAAGACTAAGATGCACTGTACCCAAGCAACAGTATTTGCAACCACCTCATATGCCATCAGGATTGGAAGAAGACTCATTAACAGATGCAAATGACACAGCCTTTCTTGCTGAAATTGAGAACCTGAAGCATCTGCTGCAGAAGGTCAAGGACTGCTGTCTTCAAGATGGACTGAAGCTCAACAACAAGAAAACAAAGATTCTCACCACTGGGCCAATTGGCAGCACCATGATAGATGGAGAAGAGCTTGAGATTATTAACCATTTTAGCTTACTCAATTCCACAAGCAACACTCTTGGCACCAGCAGTCATGAAATCAAAAGATTAATTGCATTAGGAAAATCTGTAATTAAGGACCTCTCCAGAGTGCTAAAGAGCAACAATGTCAGTCTGGAGACTAAGGTGCTCCTGATTCAGTCTTCAAGTTACTTACTATGCATCAGAGAGCTGGACAACGAGTAAGAATGACAGAAGAATTAATGCCTTTGAGTCGTGGTGCTGAAGAAGAGTACCATAGCATGGATCACCAAAAGAATAAACAGGTTTGTCATGGAGAGGGTGAAACCAAACCATTCCTTGGAGGTAAGGATTTTGAATTTCCGTCTCACATACTTTGGGCATGTTGTCTTGGAGGACATCATGCTTGGAAGGTTGGAGAGACAGTGCAGGGGAGGAAGAACCTGGACAAGATGGATCAACACCATGACTGAAGCAATAGGGTAGGTATGTAAGAGACGGTGAGTGGCCTCAGGCTGACTCAGGATAGGGCAGGGTTCAGAGCTATTGTGCCTAGGTCATTATGAGTTGCAGTTAACTTGATAGCACATAACAACAACATATGCATGTGAACGCTGGACAATGAATAAGGAAGACCAAAGAAGAAGTGATGCCTCTAAATTATCATGTTGCCCAAGAATACTAAATATACCATGTACTGCCAAAAGAATGAATAATCTTATCTCAGAAGAAATACAGTCATAAAGCTCCTTAGAAGGGAAAATAAAATGTTGACATGTTGTCTCACATAGTTTGGATATGTTATCAAGAGGGACCAGTCCCTGGTGAAGATATCATACTTGGTAGAGGGAGAGTGAAAAAGAGGAAGGCTCTCAAGCAGTGACTGCAACAGCGGACAGCAGAGCTCATGGGGCGTCACCGGATCATGCAGGATTCCATTCTGTTGGACTCATAGTCGTTGAGTCGGGATCAACTCAACAGTAACTAATGTACACACAATATTGTGGTTAAAAAATCACTTCGTGACTTACAAGTATGAGAAAAATCCTCATCTCTGCTTTCTTCTAGGGACAGACAAGAAACTAAAGCCAAAGGGCCAGACTTGACCTGTACATGGAGTGTGTACCGGCACACAGCCAGATCCATGCATTGCATGCACTCTATGGCTGCTTTTATGCAACTATGGCAAAGTTCAGTAGTTGCAAGAGAGTTCAAAAAAGAAAGAAGGAAAGAAAGATCCAGTTGTCCTAGTATGAGTTCTGACTCACAGTGACCCCACGTGTGCTTGAGTAGAACTATACTCCCGAAGATTTCTCAATGGCTGACGTTTTGAAAGCAGACCTTTCTTCCTCTTAACTAGCCGAGAAGATAAACAGGAACAGGTGTTGGGCCCTGGGTTGGCCAGATCCAGGTTAGCCTCCTTCTAAGTTCACAGCACCAGGCATTACGGATGATAGGTGATCATTTGCAGAAGGCTGTCTGTGGTTATTTGATAACAGCCCTCATCACAAGTTCCACTGCAACGAAAATGTAATGGGTGCTTCATGGAGCTTCCTATCTTCTCCAGTGTCAGTCTGCCCGACTGAGCAGCCCTACTTTAGCAGCTTTTTTCAAAATAGGTTTGATCCCAACACACATCAGGACTGTCTTCCACTACAGCCAAAGGGTCTTCAACTCACAAGGTAACAAGGTACTGATATCGACATTTAAAAAAAATAATGTTGGTAGGGTTTTTGTGTGTTTGTTTGTTTGTACCCCCCCAATAAAAAAACAGGCAGGAGGGATAAAAGAAGTGTGGAAAGCAAAAACCGAAAGAGAAGGAAAAGGAGAGAAAGAGAGGTAAGGAAACGTAGACAGACAGACAGATAGGTGTTGTTGTTGTTGTTATGTGCCGTCGAGTCGTTTGCGACTCATAGCGATCCTATGTACAACAGCCCTAAACTCTGCTCTGTCCTGTGCCAATCGCACTGTCTCTGACACTCCCATCCCAATTATCCCAGTCACTGAATCAATCCACCTCATAGAGGACCTTCCTCTCCTGCGCTGTCCCTCCACCCTCCCAAGCATGATATCCCTCTCCAGGGACCGGTCCCTCCTCACAACATGTCCAAAGTATGTTAGATGGAGCCTCAGAATCTTTGCCTCCAAGGAGCC